TATCATAAAAATGGCCAGTTCTCCCATGCAATTCAAATGAAAATCTCCAGACAGGTTATTGTGGAGTTTGAAAAAGTTATTTAAAAAATTATACCAAAGATGGGACCAGCAGTTGGCATAATGGCTATGTCACTGGACTCCCATGTAGTCAATTGCAATTTAAGTCCTGGACCCAGTGGCTTAAACTCAAGCCAGATGCATGTGTATGTGTGCCCAAGATCCTGAGAGGAGGATGGAGGAGAAGGGATTGCAGCGTGGCCATTCCCCCCTAGGGAGTAATTTCTCACTTTCTGTCTCTCTGTCTCTGTCTTTCTGGTGAGTGTGCCTGCCCAGTAGTGAAAACCTCTCCCAAGGGAAAAAAAAAATTATACCAAGAGGGAAAGGCCAAGTTTAATCAAGATACTACTAATGGTGACTTTGAGAAAAGGATGTAAAATTAAGTTATAGTTCACTAGTGGCTTATATCCAAAAATTAGGTCCATCATAAGCAGTCTTGCTGTGAAACATTGAATTGAGGAATGATTGAGAAAGTTGTGAAATATTGAGAAAGTTGTGATTAATTTGGGCTTGGATAATTGGTTTTCTATGTAGATAGGGAAGACAAAATTACATGCCTACTTTATATCATAGATAAAAATCAATTTGGGATCACAGACAATTATAAAAGTAAAAATTTCAGATATGTTAGAAGATCACATGGAATTTATTCATGATATCATGATTGCAAAACTTTTAAAAATAAGAAATAGAGAAATAAATTATAAGGATATTTGCTTGAAATCAAGACCCTTTTGTTTATCCAACAACACCCTAAGTAAACGAGTAGAGAAGGTATACCTTGGGTGAAGATACCTTAAACATACATAATTGGCAAACATATGTAATTAAAAATAATTACTTACAATCAAGAAGGAAAATATAATGAAAGATTTAAAATGTGTAAATTGGTCTTTTATAGAACAAAAATGATGAATTCAAGAATGGGAATATGTATAAGTCTTCAACAACTTTAGCAATCAGGGAAATAATTTTCATATTTTAAAATAGATGTCAATAAATAACATAAAGTAAAATAACTATTTTTTACTACCAAACTGGCAAATATTAAAAACTGGATTATAATGTTGAAGAAGTTGTGAAGAAGCAGACATTGCATGTGTTTCTACTGCTAGTAGGAATTTAACTTAGAAATCACATTTTGAAAAACAGTTTGATATTAGATGTCCAAATGCTAACATAGTCTGTAGCACAGAAGTTCTATATTTAGGTGTATATCTTAGAAAAAATTGATATATGAAAGGAGGAGACATGTACAATGATACTTATTCCATTATGTTTTTGTAACTACCTACTGATAAATATACAAATGTTTATCAACCAAAGAATATTCCCCAAATAATTTGGGAAAAGTCATGTCTCAAAGGGAAATACTTCATTAACATAGTTGCATTTTAATAATGCATAGTGTTTGGGCCAACAGGTGGTGTAGTAGTTAAGGTGTGGGACTTCCACATGGCTGAATGTGGTTCAAGCCCCAGACCCAATGGCTTGAAAATCACACTAGGAATGTTTGCGTGTGTGCCCAAAATTCTGAAAGGTAAATGGAGGAGAGGTGACTGCATTGTGAACCATCCCCACCTGGGGATGCCTCTCTCTCTGTCCCTCTCTAGTGAATACTCATGCCCTATAGGAAAAAAAAAAGTGACTAATTAACTAACTAAATTAAACAAACCTAGTGTTTAACAAAAACATTTGCTCTAAAATTATCTTATGTAATGTGGAAAAAAATGGGTAAAACAATACTATATTTTTAGGATTAAATGCAATTGTACTAAGAACAGTTTTAAATATTTTAATAATTAGAAGAGTATTTACCTTTATTTAAATGGGTACAATTTTTTGTTTGTTTGTTTTTTAGCCAGAAGGCACATGAGAATATATTTACTTTTTCTTTCTTCCTTCCTTTTTTTTTTTTTTTTTTTTTTTTTTTTTTTTTTTGAGAGACAGAATTTTTGTTATAGGATGTGTACACTCACTGGAAAGACAGGGACAGAGAGACAGAAAGTGAGAAATCACTCCCCAGGGGTGATGGCCATGCTGCAATCCCTTCTATTCTTTGTTCCTGTTGGGATCTTGAGCACGCAAAAACACGTGCCTGGGCTGTTTTAAGCCACTGGATCTGGGACTCAAACCTCAGTCAACTACATGGGAGTCCAGCAGCATAACCATTATGCCATATATTGGTCCCTTACTTTTGGTTTATATGCTTATTTACATTGACAGTTTTTTTTTTAAAGGCTATACGATTATGAAAATATTGAATTTGGTTAAGAATTCTCTTTATAGCTCGTTAGCAGTGTATATAGAAAGGCCTGATGAAATTCAAAGTACTTATTTTAACTATAAGCAAAAATGTAAATATTAAATCATTTTCACATTGAAATTAGGCTGACACAGTTATTTCACTTTATAGTTAAGCTTATTCAACTGAAGCCACATTATAAGAGCAAATTAACTCAGGATAAATGGATATATGAGCCATTGAATTCAGTGCTACGTGAGGGAAATGTTCTATTTTGAATAAAATGTCAGGATCAGTGTTTCTGGTTTATTAGAAAAGGAAAAAGTCTGCCATATAAACTTACCAAAATGTATCATCTCTTATATAAAATTCAAATCACATCACAGCAATTTATAAATGGATAAACCATATAACAAAGGAATTATGTTAATCCATTAAATCATTTTCAGTCTTATAACTGCAATAGCTAATGAACATGTGATGAGCTTGTGTAGAAATACATAAAGTATGCATTTCAACATGTGGTCCATTAATTTTTTAATCAACTGAACATGCTAATTTTTTTAATGTTGACAATGTTTTAAGTAGACACTAACAATCTTTCTTAGTTGGCACTAAATTTTACCTTATAAATACAGAAATATTTTTAGTTCTTACTTTTCCCTAACTTATTGTGACTATGCTACTTACAGAGTTAAATATTTGCAATATAACATCTAGGTATAGAAATGTAATTTACTAAATGGAATGCTAGAATAATTATTTCCAGTATCTTCACTCTTGTGTATCAGATGGATTTATTTCACCCTAATAATAGGAAAATAGAAATTTTGAATAACATGATACAAAAAGTGACTTCTCATATATAACTAGTCAGCAATACTAATTGAACAGCAATACTTTTTAGAGAATTATCCAATGTGTTTTATTTGCCCATATATGATTCATGTATTAATTGGTTTACTTTTTATCTGTATCTATATGAATTAAACATTCAATATTTCCAAACTATATGAATATTCACGTACCATGTGTAAATGTACATTCTGTACTCTCAAAAGTTGAAGAGCTACATTCCTAAGTCTGTGACTGTTCTGTTCCCTTCATATTTATAAGGCAAATGACTATGGGTTTCAGAGAGTAGTGGGTGGAGTTTTTATCTCCATTTTACAGGTTTGATAATCCTCTAAGTTCCTAGGCTTTAGGCAAGGGTTCTCACTTCCTTACCTTGCATGATCTTGAGTCTCGTCAACTCTTCCTTCATATATGAAAAACCCCAGAAGTTAGACCCTCAGGACCTCATCCTAGTTGATAGCACTGTGGACCACTTTGGCTTCAACATTGACCGACATTTTCAATTTCTTCTTTACATTTAGACTTGCAAAGTCAAGTTCACTGATACATTGAGTTAAAAAAAATTTAGTCTTGTATGGATTAGAAGTACAAGAATACAAGTTCTCTCACATCATCCGGACAGTCATATTGATATAATGTTCTCCCTAAGGTGCTTCTCAGTCTCTCTTACAAATATGTCATTATCTTTCTTTTTTAAAAATATTTTTATACATTCAATCACTGTATATCATTATAGCTTACAAAATGAATTTTCCCAGCATGAATACACTGTATATTAGTCCAGTAAAAGATATTATTATACATGTTATCAACAGATGATTTTCCATTTGTGTCCCTTCAATGTTTTGCTTCTTTCTTTTCCCCTCGATTTCCTTCCTCTCACTATCCCCCATTTCCCACTCTCCTCCCACACTGTCTCTAGTATCTGCAATTGTTCTCTATGCTTTTGTAGCTTCCGATTTTTCAGTTTCTACAATAGAATGCAGAGATTCAGTATATGTCATTCTTTCACATGCCCTCCAGTTTCTCTCAGGCAATTAAGAATACAGATGATCTATGTAGCTGCATATAGTTGCATTATAGCCTAATAACTTATGTGTATATTCTATTGGTAACATGTTTCCATGCTTAATATTTATATTCACATGTTTAATTAGGAGACCCTGTATGAATACATTTATCTAATAGGTAAATATGTAGATAAACATACATGTGTCAATGCTTTATATACTACTTAACACTACATTTGTTTTTGTTATTATTAGTTATCACTACCAACACATGAGGCTAAGAAAACAAAGATCACATACATGTGTGTGTGCCATTTTCCTTCATTCTTTCAATAAATACTTTTAGAATGGCTATGATGTGCCAAGCACTATTGTAGGCACTTAAAGTAAAGCAGTAAATAATGGCTAAAGAAAATGTTTTTTTCATACTATATTTTTTTCTCAAAAAATTATTTAATTTAATTTATTATTATTATTTTAATTTGAGCACAGAGAGACAGAGCAAGAGAGACATCAAGTGAGAAAGCAAGCCCCCAGGTCTGGGACAGGACCCAGGGTCAGCCATGTGGGAATCCAGTGCCTTGACCACCTCACCACCTAGCAACTCCGTTCTTAGACTATTCTCTTTAGGTTGATGAAAAGCAATGGACATTTTTCTTACCTTAGGGAAGCGATATTGGGCAGAAAAGATATGGGTCATCCATGCAAAGATTTTTAGAGCCCCTTCTTTCATGGAATTTGCAAACGCTCCTGCTTTACTCATATCACAGGCTCTTGAGTTTTTATGTTGACAAGTAGAAATTAAGTTTAAGTTGTCTTTGGTATTTTTACAGCTTAAACAATGGAGTACCTTTGGCTCCCTGGAAATTACACCTAAGATTGAATCAGAAACACAGGAATTCTCAGTGGTAACAGAAGACGATTGTGAAATTCTTAAAATCTCCGCAAAGGAATATGCAAAGTTAAAATTGGTATGACCATATCTGATCTACATAGTAACTTAATATGGGATTAAATTTAAGCTACTTTGTGCCACTCTAGACAAAGTTATTCATATCTTTTTAAGTTTTAAATTTGACTTGACCTGAGTACCATAAGAATGTGACTTATTTGATGAACTGGAAGCAAGATCTCTACGGATATATTTTAAGGCATATTTTTAAATGCCCTGTAGTTTTTCATTCATTTCAAATTCATTCACTTATTCAAAAGATATGTATTTTGGGTGTCAACAGCATGTCATGTGCTAGGAACAATGGAATTGTCAGATAGTAGTGTTACTGCTCTCTAAATCTCCCTGGTCCCCATTAGATTAAAAACTACTACTAGGGGGACCAGCAGTTAGCATAATGGCTATGTCGCTGGACTTCCATGTAGTCAACCGCAGTTTGCGTCCCGGACCCGGTGGCTTAAAACTCACGCCGGGCGCGTGTGCGTGCGTGCCCAAGATCCCGAGAAGAGAATGGAGGAGAAGGGATTGCGGCATGGCCATCCTCCCTGGGGGGTGATATCTCGCTTTCTGTCTCTCTGTCTCTCTCTGTCTGTCTGACGAACGCACGTGCCCTATAGCGAAAACCTCTCCAAAAAAAAAACTACTACTAGGAGGTGAGGAGCATGCTATTTCCTAGCTACTACAGACATCAGAATACAGCTGCCTGAACAGGTGATTGCAATTTCATTCTAACCTGCCTTAATCCTGTTACTTTAAGAAAATTTATTTTCTGAAAGTTTAATAATTTATTCTCTTCTAGTCAAATCCAATTTTTTCTTCTTTCTCTATTTTTCCTTCTTTGGCTGACAGAGGAAATTTGTATACAGAATGAAACTGGGAGGGTCTCGTGGTCTTGATGTTTCAGCTTCTCCTGACAGGGTCTAACCCTGATACAGGTCCTGCGAGGTGATGGCCTAAGCCATGATTGGGTTTATTTTGGAAGGAGCTGACAGACAGATAGTATCTTACTTTAAGTCTTTACTGGAGGGGATTTCTTTTGATTTGGCGGTCTCAGTGTCAAATAGTGTAGGTGACTTAGAATTCTACTTCATTCCAAAGTGTTAGTGTCAATTTGTTTTGCTTTGCAAAGTGACTGACTTTTAAAAAATGTTTCACTTTTGTGCTTTTATCTATTTATTTTTTTTAATTTTTTTATTTTGGAGAGATTTTTCTATAGGGCCCATGTGGTCATTGGAGAGAAAGAGAGATAGAGAGAAATCCCCCCCCCCGAGGGGATGGCCATGCCACGATCCTTTCTCTTCCATTCTCATCTCAGGACCTTGCACGTGCATGCATACATGCCCAGCACACTTATTTTTGCATTTTCCAAATGTCTGTATCACTTACTTGATATTATCAAATATGGCATCAAGTTTAGCATTGACAATGTCAGGACTTCTTAAAAATGATAAAAATGTATAGAATGTAAAATATTATAAAAGGTGGAAATATGACTTTACTAAGTAGAAGTAGAGATTAAAATTTCAAAATTTCTGTGTGGTCACAGAATGATGTTCCAATAAAATTTAAATGTATTTTATACTCATTTTTAAGTGTATATGCTTTTTTTTTTTTTCTATCATTTATTTATTTGCTTTTTCTTTCTTTTAAAATGATCTAATATTGGAAAATTGTTAATGACATTCTTTTGCAGGAAAACATAAAACTTGAAAATTTACAGAAGTTGAAATTAATCCGTAAGTGTCCTTATTATAAGGAGTGGCCTACTTTATCCATATATGAGCTAATTACAGTCACTAAGTGGAAAAAATTTCCTCCAGGTCATGGTGAGTTTAATACAGTTTTGGATAATTTTTCATGCATGACATTATGTTAATGGAGTTTGTAACTCTTCATAGTTTGAATACTTTAAATATTTTTTTCATGTGGGTATTTTTTAATTTATTGAATAGTGATCTTCAAATTTTTTTTTTTTTTTGGAGAGGATTTTTTGCTATAGGGTGCATGTGCTCGCCAGACAGACAAGAGACATAGAGACAGAAAGAGAGAAATCACCCTCCAGGGGGGATGGTCACGCTGCAATCCCTTCTCCTCCATTCTCCTATCGGGATCTTGGGCACGCACGCACACGCGCCCGGCGTGAGTTTTAAGCCACCGGGTCTGGGACGCGAACCGCGGTTGACTACGTGGGAGTCCAGCGACATAGCCATTACGCTAACTGCTGGTTCCCGTGATCTTCAAATTTGACATTTAGTTTACTGTTGTTTTTTAAATTAAAAATGATGCTGCAGCGGCTTAAAGAGTGATCCCAGAAGTAGCCTTACTTCGATGTCTTTTCATACCCCCTAGAGCTCCATCCTTGTTGCTCCAATCTGACAGCCACTGTAAGGGCCAAACTAAGAAGGGAATGTGCAATATGAAGTTATAAGGTTTCACCTCATTTTCTAGTTGGGCAACTTCTTATGCAGCAAATCAATAGTCTGCTCCTGTGCTATAAATTATCATTGTAAAAATAATTACAGAGAATAAGCGAGGCCTCCATAAGAGGTAGCAGCAGGGAAGCAACTCCACTTTCAATATTTAACATGGTGAGGATGTGTGGGTTGTTCTGGTTATGTGTACACAAAAACTGTGGATGGAACTGAGGCCCTTGGCACAATTGTTTGCATCTATGAGAGCCAACTAGGGACCAGCCATTAGTGTAACGGGTATGTCGCTGAATTCCCATGTAGCTGACCACGGTTCGAGTCCCGGACCCGGTGGCTTAAACTCACTCCGGGCATGTGTGCATGCATGCCCAAGATCTCGAAAGGAGAAGGGAGGAGAAGGGATTGAAGCATGGCCAACCCCCTGGGGGAGTGTGTTCTACCTTTCTATCTCTCTGTCTCTCTCTTTCTGGCAAGCACACATGCCCTGTAGCAAAAATCTATCCAAAAAAAAAAGAGCCAGATATTCAAAGAATGTCAACACAAATCTTGTTTTTTGCCTCACGTTCAGAGCTATATTGTATGAAAAATAATATCTTGACCCTGCCAATCTATGACTCTGTTAATATTTTCGAGGTCATTAAAAAGGAAGAAAGAGGCCATATTAAACATATTTTAAATTAAGTGAGTCAAAAGAATATGGACTTTTAAAAGGGGGTTATGATTAAGTACTTTTAACATATTGTACTACTAATGATAATATCCTGTGTTTTATCTTAAAATATCAATCTAAATACTTAACCATCAAAGAGCTAGAAAGACTTCACAGTTTCTTAGAGTTATAGTGAGTTTAAGTTCTTTCTTATGATTTCTTTTTTACATTGCACATCTCCAGTGTAAAGAATAGTTTTTCAAAGTATGCAGCAGTACATGATACTAAAACCAGGGATATTAACATATATGCCATATTCAATACAGAACTGTGCATTCTCGTGTCTGTTAAAGTTTCCAGTTCTTTTTTGACAAGTGTATTAAAGAGAAATAGTATGCTTGTTAAACTATCTATTGCACTGAGAAATCTGTGATTATATGGATTAAATCCAAAACCATATTATTTTTTTCACTGACTCCCAGACATATGAATGTGTGATGTTTGTATTTACTTAGTTCTAGAAAATGTTTGTTCCCCTTAGAGAAGAATGACAATTTCACCTGAAAATCATTAAAGATCTTTTCAGCTCTGAAATGTTCTGCTTCTTATATATAAATATACCTAAGAAAAGAATAAGTCCTGTCAAAATAAACTAATTTTCTTTTATGGTAGTGACAAACTTGATATATCAAAGAGAAGGATTGGATATAATACTTCATGACTTTACTCAAGATTTATTTTGAATTTTTATGAGGAAAATGTAGTGGCTGTAGATTAAATTGCGCTTTCATAATATGTGTTTAAAAGTCACAATAAGATGACTTCCATACTTATGCATGTTTCAGTCTTATGTTAGGAATCTGTAATGGATGAAAGTTCAAAGGGATTGAGATAATTATTTAAGAACTTCACAGAGTTTAGAATTACTCCTTGGCAATCTATGAAATAAGTAAAACTGCTTTTTGGCTTTTTTCTTTTGTTAACTTCTTAAAACTTCATACTTTTGCTTCATATTCTGAGGGAGCCTGAGTGTGATGGATATGTACAACGTTGTTTATTTTGAATCTGTCTAGTTTGTACTACGTAATGTAAAATTTTCTATGTTATTCTTACACATATATATATATATATACACACACACACACATATATATATATATATACACACACACACACATACACACACA